TTGAACGTCCAATTGGCTCACCCACTCCGGAGCCCCTCCCCTTCCTAAAATTAGGTGAAAAATACACAGCTATAACATAAAAAAGCTGTGAAACGTCCCTAAACACCATTATGGGCTCGACTACTCTTTCTTGTCTACTATCTCGCTGGAGAGGGCGCAGACGAGAAAAGTGCCGCGCCGCCGCGTGGCACCCCCAATCCACTTAGCACCGCTTTTTATTCGAAATAATATTGTTTTTACCTATTTTTCAGAAGAGGAGGAGCTCCGGTGCGGGTGAGATGATTATCTCTTGTAAAAAGCTGAGATGGTATAAGAGTTTAACATCGAATTGGCTCACCCACCCCGGAGCTCCTTCCCTTCTCAGGCTTGGGTGAAAAATACATATTTATAACGTAGAAAAGCTGTGGTACGTTCTATGCACCACCACGGACTCGGCTACTCTTCCTTCTTTGCGCTCTGGCCGTCGGTGATTCAAAAGAGCGCCCTCCCCTCCTCCTCCCAATTACATTTTCACCGGCATATCTTTTATAGGGATCTCGAAATTCTTTATTATCTTTCCTTTATGGTTCCTTCTTCGACTACTTCGTTCCAAAGCTCTTTTATTGTCTTCAAATATGCTCTTCTGCTTAATTCACTCCTTAGTCTGTAGTCTGTTTTACATACAAATGATGTGATTTTATTTCCTGAACCGATCTCCAAGCTCTAGGAGGGAAGGAGCACTCAGTGATGAGTCAATCTGACGTCCAGTTCTTACCCCATCCCAGCCTCTTGCAGGTTATCATCTCTTTATCCCGATCTCCAACCTTTCTAAGGCTTAGGTGAAAAACATATTCAGCTAGGAATCTTTGTGAGCATGAGTAAAGACAGTCATCTTTCCCTGATTGCTCTCTAGCGCTCAGTGTTAATTAATTCCCCTGCTCCCTTCCCCCATCCCATTTCCACAACTTCAAAATGCAGTTGGCTTCGTGTGGGTGGTACTGTAAAAGTACAAAAGATCTTGGAAGAACTTTGCCGATTTGAACTTTTTACGAAAAATGGACGGCAGTGTAACGTTATGTGATGCAGGTAATTTGTATGAAACTGGCATTCATTCGTATGAAATTCCATCTGCACATTCCATCTACCGCGGCAAACATTCCACGCAGGACGCGCATTATTGTTTCAAGATGTTGGTCAACTATAAATTGTGTTTTTCAATTGATGCAGCTGCATCGTACGTATAGTGTGCCCGTTGGGCGTGATGATTGATGATCGGTTGTCGTTTGTAATGCAAACCGATGGTAGCCCCGCAGCGAACATCTGGTCTACGTAGTCCAATCCGGACACTTTCTTACATACTCGTTAGGGAACCATCGCCCATACGCCCCCTCTCGTCGGCCGTCACATCCCATTAAGCGGGCAGCCTATTTTCATGTCGTTTTCCTTGTCAACAAACTCACATTTCTTGAGTAATACCCTTCCGTCCGGCTATATAGTCCTGTTCTGAACGTATTTTTTTATTTTGATAGTTTGCGTATTTATGCATGTATTTTATTATTATTTTTATTTAATTGGCGGAGGTGTGTAGTGGGACACTTTCACACACGTATGGTTCAGAAATCGAATCCTGGATTGACAACCGCCCATGCCTCCCGTCATGCCGGGGTCATTCAGTTGGTACCAGCTTTGGTGGGAGGATAAAAGCATAGACTTGTAAATCGACTGGCCCCTACAAGTCATTTTATAGACCACATACAGTGTAAAATCTCAGATTCCAGTGTAAGGCATTTAGCGTTGATCCCGCATTCGGAATACGCCACACATTCGACTTCCACTCAGAATCGTAGTAGCACTTGATTGCGTATATGGCTTATAAAATGCCTAGTTGTGGCCAACCGACGCATAAATCAGTGCTTTCCTCCTCCCAGACGAGTCTGGCACCAATTAACTGCCCTTGGAAGAGTGGAAAGCTTGGTCGGCCTGAGCAGATACTGGTCTGAGATTCGATCCTTGGACCATGCGTGCGTGATAGTGCGCCATATTCCCCTACGCTACCTTCCAAGTTGTTCCTAAT